TTAGAGAGGTTTATAGTCAGGTACCAAACGTGGCACATACAGAGGTTATTATAGTCAGGTACCAAACGTGGCACATACAGAGGATATTATAGTCAGGTACCAACGTGGCACATACAGAGGATATTATAGTCAAGGAACCAAACGTGGCACATACAGAGGATATTATAGTCAGGTACCAACGTGGCACATACAGAGGATATTATAGTCAAGGAACCAGACGTGGCACATACAGAGGATATTATAGTCAGGTACCCAGACGTGGCACGAGGTAATCTATGGAAATTACTGATTACTAGATAAATATTTGGTGCTGGATGTATCTATTAAGTAACTAATTTTGGTTCTCTAATGTCCACTGAGACAACAAGATATCCTTGCAGGGTGTCAGGTGGGCCCTGGGATGCACAGCCTAGCTCTCAGAGATATTGTATGCCACATTTTTTGGGACACGTTAAAAAAAAAGGATTTGTTTTTTTCCGTGGCATCATGGAACGCAGTGTGAAGTGTGTGATGGAGGCGGAAGGTGGACTCACTTGCTTGGCTTGTCTCCGGGACTCTTCCAGGCCACGTCCTCTCTCTGCTGCCCTCTCCTGCACCTTCCCCAGCCGCTCCCGGGCGCCCTGCACCAAGGACTGGGTCATGTCCCCTTCCTGCTTCCGGCTCACGTCCCTGAGACGTGAGCAGACGGACTCCAGGCCGGCCAGCTTGCCCTCGTTCAGCTGAATCTCCTGCACCAGACCCTGAGAAAGAAACATGACACGTTGTACTGGGGGGGGGCAGCGACCAACACAGCTGCTTAGGGGCCCAATCCTCTGGCTTCATACCCTTCTATCCCATAACAAGGGGCTCACAAATACTTGCACCAATTTAGGATCCACGTGACAGCCAGGCAGTTAACATTTTTTTTTTAAAAAGAGGCCAGACGTGGCAGCCCACCCACCTTGTGTTCTTGAATCTGATTGGTGACGGTCTCTAAGATGACGCTGGGTGGTCCGGCCGTGTTGAGTCTCCCCTCTGCTTGTCCGATCCACTGAGACACTTCCTGCATGGTGTTGTGGAACTCTGTTATCATTGCCAGCCCATCCGACAAGCACGCCTGTTACAGAGCGACGAGGCAGGAGTGAGGGGAAAGTGAGCACACAACCCCGCTACAGAGCCCGTGGCTCTTCCCGCTCACTCACCTTTCTGTCCTGCACCTTGGTGTATGCGCTCTCCCACTTTTGTTCCAGTATCCGTAGCTGGTGCTCTGCGCTGGAGCCTCGAGGTTGGGGGCTGGAAGCCAGCAGGCGCTGGAGACGGTCCCGCACGCTGTTATATGTGTGCTGCTTAGACTCCATCTCTTTACACAGATCCTGGGCAATCAGAGGAGTAATATATCCAATGTAAGAGTGCAGGAGGAAGAATGGAAATGTGCCGAAGGACAAGAGTGATGGGCAGGGTGTAAGAGGCAGAAAGGTGATGAAAAATGGTCAAATGCAGGAGGCAGAGCAGGTACAGCAAAGTGCAGGAGATACAGCAAAGTGCAGGGGGCAGAGGAGATACAGAAAAGTGCAGAGGAGATACAGCAAAGTGCAGGAGATACAGCAAAGTGCAGGGGCAGAGGAGATACAGAAAAGTGCAGAGGAGATACAGCAAAGTGCAGGGGGCAGAGGAGATACAGCAAAGTGCAGGAGGCAGAGGAGAAACAGCAAAGTGCAGAAGAGATACAGAAAAGTGCAGAGAAGATACAGCAAAGTGCAGGGGGCATAGGAGAAACAGAAAAGTGCAGGAGGCAGAGGAGATACAGAAAAGTGCAGGAGGCAGAGGAGATACAGAAAAGTGCAGGGGGCAGAGGAGATACAGCAAAGTGCAGGGGGCAGAGGAGATACAGCAAAGTGCAAAGGAGAAACAGCAAAGTGCAAGAGGCAGAGGAGATACAGAAAAGTGCAGGGGGCAGCGGAGATACAGAAAAGTGCAGGGGGCAGCGGAGATACAGAAAAGTGCAAAGGAGAAACAGCAAAGTGCAAGAGCAGAGGAGATACAGAAAAGTGCAAAGGAGAAACAGCAAAGTGCAAGAGGCAGAGGAGATACAGAAAAGTGCAGGGGGCAGCGGAGATACAGAAAAGTGCAAAGGAGAAACAGCAAAGTGCAGGAGGCAGAGGAGATACAGCAAAGTGCAGGAGGCAGAGGAGATACAGCAAAGTGCAGGAGGCAGAGGAGATACAGCAAAGTGCAGAGGAGATACAGAAACGTGCAGGAGGAAGAGGAGATAGAGAAAAGTGCAGAGGAGATACCGCAAAGTGTAGGAGGCAGAAGGAATACAGCAGTGTGCAGAAGGAAGAGTGAATGCAGCAAAATGCAGGGGGCAGAGGAAATACAGTAGAGTGCAGAGGAGATACAGCAAAGTGTAGGAGGCAGAAGGAATGCAGTAAAGTGCAAGGGAAATAAAGAACACAGCATAGTGCAGGAAGCAGAGGGAATATGGAAGAGTGCAAAAGGCAGAAGAAATAGAATGCAGGAGGCAAGTGGGGTGCAACAGAATGCAGGAGACAGAGGAAACACAGTAGAGTGCAGAAGGAATGGTTAAAACAGCAAAGTACAGGATGAAGAGGAAATATGGCTGGGTGCAGGAGGCAGATCAAATACAGTAGAAGGTGGAGGACATACTGCATACTGCAGGAGGCAGGGGGGATGCAACAGAATACAGGAGGTGAGGTGGGAATGCAACAGAATGCAGGAGGTGAGGTGGGGATGCAACAGAATGCAGGAGGCATGCAACAGATTGCAGCAGGCAGGGGGGATGCAACAGAATGCAGGAGGCAGGGGGGATGCAACAGAATGCAGGAGGCATGCAACAGAATGCAGGAGGCAGGAGGGATGCAACAGATTGCAGCAGGCAGGGGGGATGCAACAGAATGCAGGAGGCAGGGGGGATGCAACAGAATGCAGGAGGCATACAACAGATTGCAGCAGGCAGGGGGGATGCAACAGAATGCAGGAGGCATGCAACAGAATGCAGGAGGCAGGAGGGATGCAACAGATTGCAGCAGGCAGGGGGGATGAAACAGAATGCAGGAGGCAGGAGGGATGCAACAGAATGCAGGAGGCAGGGGGGATGCAACAGAATGCAGGAGGAAGGAGGCATGCAACAGAATGCAGGAGGCAGGGGGGATGCAACAGAATGCAGGAGGCAGGAGGGATGCAACAGATTGCAGCAGGCAGGGGGGATGCAACAGAATGCAGGAGGCAGGAGGGATGCAACAGAATGCAGGAGGCAGGGGGGATGCAACAGAATACAGGAGGAAGGAGGCATGCAACAGAATGCAGGAGGCAGGGGGGATGCAACAGAATGCAGGAGGCAGGGGGGATGCAACAGAATGTAGGAGGCAGGAGGGATGCAACAGAATGCGGGAGGCAGGAGGGATGCAACAGATTGCAGCAGGCAGGGGGGATGCAACGGAATGCAGGAGGAAGGAGGCATGCAACAGAATGCAGGAGGCATGCAACAGAACGCAGGAGGCAGGGGGGATGCAACGGAATGCAGGAGAAGGAGGAAATACAGTAGAGTACAGGAGACAAAGGCAATACAGCAGAGGGCAAGAGGAACAGGAACACAGTAGGGTCAGTAGGGTGCAGGAAGACAGAGAACATACAGCATATTGTAGAAGGAAATAGAATAGAATGCCAGAGAAGAGAATGGAGGAAACTGCTAGAATAGAGAAGTGTAAAGTGTAGTAAGACGTAGAAGGGATGAATAAACAAATATTTGAAGACTCTGAATATCAAGAAAAGTCGGGCTATGAAATCTCCGTTTTGTGCAGCCAGCGCACCCAATGACCCGCCACCGTCTGATCCTCATTATACTCCATTATATGTCCACTCACCAGGTGTTTGGTCAGAGCGTCTCTGGTGGATTCCGGATGACCCCACACAGGTTTTGCAGAAGGACAGACGGGACTCCACCTCTTCCAGCCACTGCAGTAGGTCGGTGACCTCCAGAGCGACATCCTGCACCTTTAAGAAGGGGGACACGGGGTCACCAAATGGGCTAAACCCTTACCAGAGCCAAAAGCACATACAGTAAATGATACAGAAACAAGGAAAATCTATAATAACTATTTAACAATAAGAACTCATATACGTGGCCTAACTTCTGTTCTGACTTTACAAATGGCGGGCCCTTCACCTTTAGTAACCTCCTGCTCTGTTCATTTTTCCATGTTCCCGTCTTTTTTATACTACTGGATTATTATACCAGAACTAAGTGATCTTTGTCCAGCAGACCAAATATCATTAGCAGACATCTGATTTAGTGTCTGGGGATCAGGCCAAGTGAAGTCACAGTCAGGTCAGGGTAGAAAACAGATGGGCACATGGAGTACCAGAAGGGTGAGATGGGAAGGGGGTCAGTAGACAAGCCGAGGAGCATTGGAAATAAAAAATAAAGCAGAATCAACATCAGATTACACAATGGTTTGCACTCTTGGAGATACAAAGTATAACTTGCAGGTTGTCTTTCCATTCCTCCGTCAACTGCTCACGGTGCCACCATGGTAGACACGGGGATGTCTTAATGATGAGTTAGAATGTGGCATCTATAGGAGGCAGCACCAGGCATGGACCATTGTGCTATGTACTCAGGTCTAAAGAGGTCGTAAATTCTTCTTTAATAATTTTACCTGATAATAAAGCTTACCTGTAGGTAAAATTAATATCTCCTCAACATGAACCATCCAGATTCATGCTTTTGTTCATCAAGGTCTCAGGTGTGGTAGAGCCGGGGGGTCTACACCTGAAAGTGTCTCTGGCACCTAGAGACTTCACCCAAAGGATCCAGTCCACACAGCCTCACTAGAAGGCATCTGGAGGAAGCTGAATGGGCACACAGCTGCTCCACCGGCCTTGTGATAGCAGGTGCTAGTCACTATCAAATGTGGACCCAGGGTTGGTGGCTTCATCCCACCCAATATTCTACAAAGCCTCTGGGCTGAAGGACCCATTCCAGGATTTACTAATGCTGGAGAAAATTGCAAAGCCAGTTTTGTCTACACAGACCAAAGTTCCCAGAGCCCTTCAACCTGCATAGATGAAAACCCTGGATGACACCAGACTCTTGACACCACAATGTCACCCAGGTTTATTGATAACAGTAACTTGCTAAATGTACAAAGCCAGGCAAATTGATAAAAATTTTAAATCAGTTTGCACCATCCCTGGCATGGTGGCCAGGCATTATAGCATTGAGTGTAAGTCCTGGAGACAACCAAGTACTGGTAGACCTGCTTGCCTTATGGGAAAAGGGGCTGCTATAGGCGAAGAACACAGAAGCCAGCTATAGTGACTGACCATCTGTCCGGGTGGGGGTGGCTGATTCCAGCTGTTATTCATTAAGGTCTCAGGTGTGGCCATGGTGGGGGGTCTACAATTGAAATTGTCTCTGACACCTACAGACTTCACTCAAAGGATCCAGTCTGCACAGCCTCACTAGAAGGCATCTGGAGGAAGCTGAATGGGCACAGCTGCTCCACCGGCCTTGTGATAGCAGGTGCTGGTCACTATCAAATGTGGACCCAGGGTTGATGGCTTCATCCCACCCATTATTCTACAAAGCCTCTGGACCAGGGGCGGACTGACAACTCTTGGGGCCCCCGGGCAATAGGGGATCATGGGGCCCCCGTGTCCTTGCCCAAACTCAAAAAAGCCTATGAAAAAGGTACCAGGGGCATCTCATGGGGCCCCCTACTGACCTCGGGCCCTCGGGCAGTGCCCGAGTTTCCAAATGGTCAGTCCGCCCCTGCTCTGGACTGAAGGACCCAATCCAGGATTTGCTAATGCTGGAGAAAATTTCAAAGCCAGTTTTGTCTGCACAGCCCTTCAACCTGCATAGATGAGAACCCCGGATGACACCAGACTCTTGACACCACAATGTCACCCAGGTTGATTGATAACAGTAACTTACTAAATGTACAAAGACAGGCAAATTGATTAAAAATTTTAAATCAGTTTGCGCCAGCCTTGGCATGGTGGCCAGGCATTATAGCATTGAGTATAAGTCCTGGGGACAACCAAGTACCGGTAGACCTGCTTTTCTTATGGGAAAAGGGGCTGCTATAGGTGAAGAACACCGAAGCTAGCTATAGTGACTGACCATCTGTCCGGGTGGGGGTGGCTGATTCCAGCTGTTATTCATTAAGGTCTTAGGTGTAGCCACGCCAGGATGGGGGGGGGGGGGGTCTACACTTGAAAGTATCTCTGACACCTAGAGACTTCACCCAAAGGATCCAGTCCGCACAGCCTCACTAGAAGGCATCTGGAGGAAGCTGAATGGACACATCTGCTCCACCGGCCTTGTGATAGCAGGTGCTGGTCACTATCAAAAGTGGACCCAGGGTTGGTGGCTTCATTCCACCCAATATTCTACAAAGCGTCTGGGCTGACGGACCCAATCCAGGATTTACTAATGCTGGAGAAAATTTCAAAGCCAGGTTTGTCTGCACAGCCCTTCAACCTGCATAGATGAGAACCCTGGATGACACCAGACTCTTGGCACCACAATGTCACCCAGGTTTATTGATAACAGTAACTTACTAAATGTACAAAGACAGGCAAATTGATAAAAATCAGTTAAATCAGTTTATGCCAGCCTTGGCATGGTGGCCAGGCATTATAGCATTGAGTATAAGTCCTGGGGACAACCAAGTACCAGTAGACCTGCTTGCCTTATGGGAAAAGGGGCTGCTATAGGTGAAGAACACAGAAGCCAGCTATAGTGACTGATCATCTGTCCGGGTGGGGATGGCTGATTACAGCTGCTGTTCATTAAGGTCTTAGGGGTAGCCACGCCGGGATGGGGGGGGGGTCTACACTTGAAAGTATCTCTGACACCTACAGACTTCATCCAAAGGATCCAGTCCGCACAGCCTCACTAGAAGGCATCTGGAGGAAGCTGAATGGGCACACCTGCTCCACCGGCCTTGTGATAGCAGGTGCTGGTCACTATCAAATGTGGACCCAGGGTTGGTGGCTTCATCCCACTCATTATTCTACAAAGCCTCTGGACTGAAGGACCCAATCCAGGATTTGCTAATGCTGGAGAAAATTTCAAAGCCAGTTTTGTCTGCACAGCCCTTCAGCCTGCATAGATGAGAACCCTGGATGACACCAGACTCTTGACACCACAATGTCATCCAGGTTTATTGATAACAGTAACTTACTAAATGTACAAAGACAGGCAAATTGATAAAAATCAGTTAAATCAGTTTATGCCAGCCTTGGCATGGTGGCCAGGCATTATAGCATTGAGTATAAGTCCTGGGGACAACCAAGTACTGGTAGACCTGTTTGCCTTATGGGAAAAGGGGCTGCTGTAGGTAAAAGTAGGCCACAGGCGCTGCGTGCGCACGCAGTATTCCAAAAGAACGGGCCGCGCATGCGCCAGAGGCCCTGCAGCCTGACAGGCAGAAATGCAATAATGCAATTGTATAAGTGTGTAAAAATATAAATATACCCATATAAATGGGGAGGAAACGTGGGGACCCCCGAGTGGCACCAGGGCTGTGCTGCCAATAATGGCCAAATGGGTGCATCTACAAATTACGTAGATGGAACAATATTGAAAAAAAAAAAAAAAAAAAAAAGAAAAAACCCACAGTGGAACACAGGCTGGGTCAGCAGAGACACACCATGAATGTACATGGTAGAGAATATAAATAACAATACAAAAGTATGTCTATAGAAAGTTGATAAAACAATAAAATAATACAACAGTTACATATAGTGATAAAAAATAGTATAAAAACATATACAAGATGTATTCACAATGTACATTTCAAATTTAATATAGTGCATATTTGATATAATAATGTAATAAAATAATATAATAAACCGTTTATGAATAACGTAGATGCACAGCATCATGGAGCACGAGGAAATGGTAAACAGTAAAATTGAAAAGTATATTTTCTATATAATAAGGTTATAAAATAGTAGTTATAAACCATTTCCAAACTAAAAATAAAAAAATTAATGTGTATATTATCTCAAGGTGATTCAGCCAGATAGCAATACAAAGCTTTGCTGTAACAATCATGTCTATCATATGAATGAGGAATTTTCTGATTAAATATATGTGTAAATTGATGATTAATTGAATGAATATGATGAAATCATGCAGAAATAAAAATAAAAATAATTGATTAAATATAATAGAATCATGCAAAAATAGAAGCAAGGCAAAAGAGGCAGAAAACAGACCAAAACAAAAACAAAAAAGGGAAAAAAAAAAAAAAAAAATTAATAAATAATAAATCCAATGTGTCAAAAGGAGACTATACCAAAGATTGTACGTCAAGAGCATCATTAAGGCCCTTGGGTAATAATGTTTCCGATTTATGGATCCAATAGGATTCTCGTTGGCAGAGTTTACGGAATCTTCTGCCTAAATCAATATCTCCTGATATACTTTCTATACCGAACACCTTGAGGCCCACAGGATTTTCATCATGTTTGTCGCTGAAGTGACAAGGCACTGTATGTTTGTCAAAACCATGCAATATATTACGTTTATGCTCCCCAAATCGAGTCCTCAGGGAGCGTGTGGTGCGAGCCACGTAAAAGAGACCGCATGGGCAAACCAGGCAATAGATGACAAACTGTGTGCTGCAGTTAATAAACTGGCCTATGGGATAAACCCAGGCATGGTGGCCAGGCATTGTAGCATTGAGTATAAGTCCTGGAGACAACCAAGTACCAGTAGACCTGCTTGCCTTATGGGAAAAGGGGCTGCTAAAGGTGAAGAACACAGAAGCCAGCTATAGTGACTGACCATCTGTTCCGGATGGGGATGGCTGATTCCAGCTGTTGTTCATTAAGGTGTAGCCACACCAAGATGGGGGGGGGGGGGGGGGGGGGTTCTACATTTGAAAGTATCTCTGACACCTAGAGACTTCACCCAAAGGATCCAGTCCGCACAGCCTCACTAGAAGGCATCTGGAGGAAGTTGCATTGGCACATCTGCTCCACCGGCCTTGTGAGTACTGACAATGTCACCCTGGGAAAGGAAGTGTGCTATTGGCAGGATCATTAGAAAAAAATTATGGAAACAGAAAACTAAGGCAGCCTTCACATCTACAGATTGGTAAGCTGCAATTTGTTACAGTTTTGTTCTCGGTTTTAGAGCCACTTTTTGGTGTCACCTATATTATTCATGAAGAAGACAGACTGGTCTGCGTTTTTAAGTCATCCTTTAATACGCTCCTCTAAAAGATCAAAATGCAGCAAATTACGAGGAATTAGTTTGCGTGTAATCTTTGTGGTTTTTTTTTTTGGTCTTTTGGTCAGCTTATCTATTACCCTGCTGAGGTCATTCTCCAGCTCCAGCTGTCGTCTCTCCGTTTCACTCCGAACAAACTCCCACCGCTGCGTCAGTTCGCTCAGCTTGGCCTGAAGCGCCTCTGCCCCGTCCCCGAGTGAGGTCAGCAAGATCGCCCGTCCAGCTTCATCCACCGACTCCACTGTGCGGGTGTGAGACAGGACATCATTCCGCAGGACCTGCAGGGGGTGACATAGAGCAATATAGACAGAAAGATGGGGGAATCGTCATTAAAGGCCGATTTTATTTTAACATAGTGAGTATAATCTTTCACTCTTTTGGATTATAAAAAGCTGCCCTGAGAGGTTTCTCTGCTCATTTTTCCTATTTTTTTTGAACCTCAGGCTTAATGCTGAACTATGGCCTTCCCTTCAGTCTTGCAGTTTTACTGGCTCCTCCCCTTCAGTCTTGCAGTTGTACCAGCTCCTCCCCTTCAGTCTTGCACAGGTGTACCAGCTCCTCCCCTTCAGCCTTGCACAGGTGTACCGGCTCCTCCCCTCCAGTCTTGCACAGGTGTACCGGCTCCTCCCCTTTAGTCTTGCACAGGTGTACCGCCCCCTCCCCTTCAGTCTTGCACAGGTGTACCGGCACCTCCCCTCCAGTCTTGCACAGGTGTACCGGCTCCTCCCCTTCGGTCTTGCACAGTTGTACCGGCTCCTCCCCTTCGGTCTTGCACAGTTGTACCGGCTCCTCCCCTCCAGTCTTGCACAGGTGTACCGGCTCCTCCCCTTCAGTCTTGCACAGGTGTACTGGCTCCTCCCCTTCAGTCTTGCACAGTTGTACCGGCTCCTCCCCTCCAGTCTTGCACAGGTGTACCGGCTCCTCCCCTTCAGTCTTGCACAGTTGTACCGGCTCCTCCCCTCCAGTCTTGCACAGGTGTACCGGCTCCTCCCTTCAGTCTTGCACAGGTGTACTGGCTCCTCCCCTTCAGTCTTGCACAGTTGTACCGGCTCCTCCCCTCCAGTCTTGCACAGGTGTACCGGCTCCTCCCTTCGGTCTTGCACAGTTGTACCGGCTCCTCCCCTTCGGTCTTGCACAGTTGTATCGGCTCCTCCCCTCCAGTCTTGCACAGTTGTACCGGCTCCTCCCCTCCAGTCTTGCACAGGTGTACCGGCTCCTCCCCTTCAGTCTTGCACAGTTGTACCGGCTCCTCCCCTTCAGTCTTGCACAGGTGTACCGGCTCCTCTCCTGGACTGAAATGGCTTCCTCTGATGTCACTGCACACTGTGAGCTTCTCACAATGTGCATTAGAAGCTGCAGCAAGTCAGATAGAGACCGCCTGTTTCCTGGCTGGAGGACATCCATCATCATCCAGCCCTTTCCTCCCCAATGTGACTGTCATTAGCCCACCCCTTTCATTCATGGGGCTTCAGTTCATTCAATCATGGATGTTCAGCGTCAAATGTGAGCGTTACCTAGGACGATCTGCATTCAAACTCCTCCAAGCTGCTTGTGTCAGGACTGAAGGCTCTTGAAAGAAATACTGAGGCAGGGTGCTGTCATATTTTCAAAAAGGTTTTTACAGCACCCTGTGATGGGACTGTGATGGGCACTCCTAGATCAAAGGGGGGACTGTGATGGGCTCTTCTGGATTTTAGTGGGGACTCTAGTGGGCACTCCTGGATCTAAGGGAGGGCTCTGAAAGGTATTCCTGGATGTAAGGGGGGCTCTGATAGGCACTACTAGATCTAATGAGGGCTCTGATGGGCACTATTGGACCTAAGGGGTAATCTCTGATGAGCACTCCTAGATGTAAGGAGGGACTGTGGTGGGTGCTACTGGATCTAAGGAGGGACTCTGAGGGAGACTACTAGCTCCAAAGGAAAACTCTGATGGGCACACCTGGATGTAAGGAAGAACTCTGATGGGCACTCCTGGATTTAAGGAAGAACTCTGATGGGGCACTCCTGGATTTAAGGAAGAACTCTGATGGGCACTCCTGGATTTAAGGAAGAACTCTGATGGGCACTCCTGGATTTAAGGAAGAACTCTGATGGGCACTCCTGGATGTAAGAATGGACTCTGATGGGCACTTCTGGGAGTGCCAATCAGAATCCCCTCTTAGATCCAGAAGTGCCCATCAGAGTCCCCCCTTAGATCCAATAGTGCCCTTCAGAGTCTCCCCTTAAATTCAGGAGTGCCCATCAGAGTTCCCATCCATAGTGCCCATCGGGTGGACTGGTTGTGGGTCATGGCTGGCTAGCTGGCAGTGGATGAGCCAGTCTCCATATTTTGAAGCACAGACCACTGCCAGCCAGCTGTGGTATTTTCATGGACAGATTCTACAGGCCAAAGAAAATATTGTAGTGGGTCAGATGTGGCCCACAGGCCATAGTTGGGAGACCCCTGGGCTGTAGTTTTGTCCTTGCATCATATCCACTTGGCAGCCTATTAGTCTATATAGTTGCAGTTCAATGCATGTAGACATGGTCAAGGCTGGGCTAAAGGCCTAACAATAGGAGAGGTATAAATAATGTACAATGCTCTACACGAACACATAAAGAATGATGATGAATGTGGACATTCCCACCGCACTCACCTTGTGTTTGGCCAGCTCGATCTCACAGGCCTGCAGGTCAGTACAGGTCTGGTGGGGCCCCTGGAGCTGCTCCTTGGTGTGAGAGAGCCAGTTCAGAAGCTCCTCCAGCTGGTTCTGGAACTGGCCAAGCCCCAGTAGGGCATCTTCCAACTGGTGCTGTGAAGACAGGGACATGATTTATTACAAAAGCGAAGATCTCCCACACGTTTGGTATCAATGAAGAATAATAAAATGCCCTTGGCATGCAATGAACATGGATCCAGTCATTGACGAAATACAAGTCCCAGCTGGCTGTCCTGGGCTTCTAATATCTTACTTGTTATGTCCCTACAGTCTGCTCAGCCATGAAGGAACAAAGCAGACCAATCATCATATCCAGTACCTAGCTTCCTCGGTTAAATGGTTCTCTATGATAATGAATGGATAGAATCGGCACCTGACGGTTCACAGCCTCCTCCTCCAACCGGTCCCAGCGCTCTCTGTAGTCGCTCAGCTGCGATCCATCAGACTTGCCCAGGTTCTGGTGCCCGATGCTCTCCAGCTCCACTCGGTGCTGATACAGCTCTCTCTTAAATTCCTGTTTACGAAACATACCATAATGAGTCACATGTTATCATTAGATGGGTGAGTTGTAGGCACTGCTCATCTCTGGCTCTAGATACCTGTGCTGGTCTATTTCTGCAGACCTACTATGGCCATAGCCAAGTCCCAAGCTGGAGACCTGCAGCCTGCATACCTACCTGCAACTCACTTTTAAACTCACTTGTACCTTTCAAGCACCCTGAAAATTCTGCCTTTTATCAAGAACTTCTCCTAAAAAATAGCAGTGCATTCCCTGTGCCTAGGCACGCCTGTTCTGTAGCCTCATCACTTTATATCTCCACTGCTGTCTCTAATGTCTAGTCTCACCAGAACTGGTCAAGATTTGGTGATGTCACTACTGTGTTGCTCACTGTTCTCCTTGCCGGAGAGGAAGCTATACCTAAAGACCTGCAGTGCAAGGATCTCCCTGCTTCTGCTTCATCCATTCTATGGATCTGCACTTACTCCACCTCTATCAATAACCCACTGGTCATCAGATAATCAGCAATGTACTTTTGAACCCACTGGTACCTTTCAAGTAATCTGAAAATTCTACCTTTTATCTAAAACTCCTCTTGAAAAAAAGCAGTGCAGTTCCTGTGCCTGGGCACTCCTGTTGTGAGACCTCATAGCTGCATATCTACAGTGTCAAAACATCTAAGGCACTGCTGCCTATGACTGATAGTCTCACCAGATTTGGAGTGAGATTGTTCTCCTTGCTGAAGGGGAAGCTGTACCTGACGACCTGCCGTGCAAGGATCTCCCAACTTCTGCTTCATCCATTCTATGGATCTGCACTTCCTCCACCTCTATCAATAACCCACTGGTCATCAGATCATCAGCAATGTACTTTTGAACCCACTGGTACCTTTCAAGTAATCTGAAAATGCTACCTTTTACCTAAAACTTCTCTTGAAAAAAAGCAGCAGTTTCTGTGTCTAGGCACTCCTGTTGTGAGACCTCATAGCTGTATATCTGTAGTGTGAGACCATCTAAGGCACTGCTGTCTATGACTGATAGTCTCACCAGATTTGGAGGGAGATTGTTCTCCTTGCTGGAGGGGAAGCTGTACTGGAGGATCCGCAGTGCAAGGATCTCCCGGCTTCTGCTTCATACTTTTCTGGTGATCTATCATTGCCCCTTCAGTCATCAGATCACCAGCAATGTACTTTTGAACCCACTGGTACCTTTCAAGTAATCTGAAAACTCTACCTTTTATCTAAAACTCCTCTTGAAAATAAGCAGTTCACTTCCTGTGCCTAGGCACTCTTGTTATGTGACCTCGTAGCTGTATATCTGCAGTGTGAGACCATCTAAGGCACTGCTGTCTATGACTGCTAGTCTCACGAGATTTGGAGGGAGATTGTTCTCCTTGCTGGAGGGGAAGCTGTACTGAAGGACCAGCAGTGCAAGGATCTCCCGGCTTCTGCTTCATACATTCTGTGGACCTGTGCTTTCTCCGTCTATCTCATTACCCCACCAGTCATCAGACCACCAGTAATGTACTTTTGAATCCTTTTGGACCTTTCAGCAAACCCAATAGAGTTTGTATCTGCAACTCTACCGCAAACCTACCTTTACTGCTACAGAGGTACAAGACCCCGCCAAGTAACCTGTCCATGTGCCCCTGTAAGTGTGTTTTGGTATATAGTAAATGCAGGGTCCTGGGAGGGCGGATATAATGAATGCGGGGTCCTGGGAGGGCGGATATAATGAATACAGGGTCCTGGGAGGGGCGGATATAATGAATGCGGGGTCCTGGGAGAGCGGATATAGTGAATGCGGGGTCCGGGGGGAACGGATATAATGAATGCAGGGTCCTGGGAGGGCGGATATAGTGAATGCGGGGTCCGGGGAGAGCGGATATAGTGAATGCGGGGTCTGGGGGGAGCGGATATAGTGAATGCGGGGTCCCAGGGAGAGCGGATATAGTGAATGCAGGGTCCGGGGAGAGCGGATATAGTGAATGCGGGGTCCGGGGAGAGCGGATATAGTGAATGCGGGGTCCGGGGAGACCAGATATAGTGAATGCAGGGTCTGGGGAGACGGATATAGCGAATGCGGGGTCCGGGGAGAGCGGATATAGTGAATGTGGGGTCCGGGGAGAGCGGATATAGTGAATGTGGGGTCCGGGGAGAGCGGATATAGTGAGTGCGGGAACCGGGGAGAGCGGATATAGTGAATGCGGGGTCTGGGGAGAGCGGATATAGTGAATGCGGGGTCCGGGGAGAGCGGATATAGTGAATGCGGGGTCCGGGGAGAGCGGATATAGTGAATGCAGGGTCCGGGGAGAGCGGATATAGCGAATGCGGGGTCCGGGGAGAGCGGATATAGTGAATGCGGGGTCCGGGGAGAGCGGATATAGTGAATGCGGGGTCCGGGGAGAGCGGATATAGTGAATGCGGGGTCCGGGGAGAGCGGATATAGTGAATGCGGGGTCCGGGGAGAGCGGATATAGTGAATGCGGGGTCCGGGGAGAGCGGATATAGTGAATGCGGGGTCCGGGGAGACCGGATATAGTGAATGCGGGGTCCGGGGTTTAGTAACACTTTATTATATTTTTTAATTCAAATGTATTTTTCATTTAGTTTAGTGACAACAACCTTCTGGCAGCCCCTGCAGATGGAACGACTACTACATGCAGAGTTGCTTCTGATTGGTGGGAATTGCAGCGTCAGCAATTAAAGGAAACCTTACCCAAGTTTAAGAGTCAGAAAAGCCTCTTCAGTGCCCCTCTCTGATTTAGTTTCACTTTGTTATTGGGATCCGACTTTCCCTGACTTGATGGCTAAGCTCCACCCACAGGCACCCTCTGACGCTGCCTTTATTAGCCATATCACTGGAAAGGCAGAGGAAGTCAGAAAAAGTCAGTAACAAAATGAAACTATATCAGAGAAGGGCACACATTTTATGTTTCAGAATAAATACGTTCAGTAAATGAAGATGATGGCATATGTCAGCACAAAACCAAATGGAATATTTAATTTCCGAGTATCAAGAATGAAGACTTCGGTTTAATTATTACTGAATCCAATATACAAATTCACGAAATTTGGCCCCACCTCCTCTTATTGCCATTATTTTGGGGGTTTTGGGTGGAATGTGTCAGATTTGGCTTCTTGTTTCTCCACTTTCTTCAGTGTAATCAAATCGGAGTGTACTCTACACATCGCTAAATATCAGCACACATTCGGCACATACCTTTAAGTCAGACAGCTGACGCCTCACCATGTCCAAGTCTCCGCCCACAAGGAACTCCTCAGATAGGCGGGACTCGGCCACAAGCAGCCAATCCTGCAGTCTCTGTAGAAAGAGAAGAGTGCAGGGAAGATATGACTACAGCTTGAGATATATATATAGAGAGAGATCAATGATCAGTTATGATACGGGCAGGTGACAAATGTGACTATGCAGTATTTTATTTATCACAGGAATTTATATAGCGACAACAGTTTATGCAGCACTTTACATACTGTACATTCCCATCAGTCCCTGTCCTTGAGGACCTTACAATCTAATATCTACGATATAAAGATAATAATAATAATAATAATATTCAAATACGATTGGTTCTGATTTTTAATAAACAAAATTTACAATCTAAGATATAAATAATATTAAAATATGATTTTTTTGCCGGGAAAAACATAAACAGAACCAATCATATTTTAATATTATTTATATCTTCGATTGTAAATTTTTGTTTATTAAAAATCAGAACCAATCGTATTTGAATATTATTATTATTATAATCTTTATATCTTAGATTGTAAATTTGTTTTGCCAGGAAAAACATAATCTACGATATAAATATAATAATAATAATATTAAAATATGATTGCTTCTGTTTATGTTTTTCCCGGCAAAAAAAAATGCAGTTTCCTGTGTTATATGCTGAAGTAAGCTAATTTTGTTTAATTATATATATTTATTTTATTTATTCTGTATATATGTACAATCTAAAGGAAGGGGGAAGTGATACAAAAAAATAAATAAAAAAATAATATATATATATATATATATATGTTATTTATTTATTTATTCTGTATATATGTAAACATGTTTTTAATCATGTTGTTTGTTTGTAAGATTTTTAATAAACAAAAATGTACAATCTAAGATATAAAGATAATAATAATAATAATATTAAAATATGATTGGTTCTGTTTATGTTTTTCCCCGGCAAAAAAAGCCATTTCCTGTGTTATATGCTGAAGTAAGCTATTTTTGTTTAATTTATATATTTATTTTATTTATTCTGTATATATGTAAATATGTTTTTATTACCCACATGGAAGAAAAATACATTTTAAATATATTTTAAAAATACTCTTCCCAAATATATTGATATATATTTGAAATATTACAATTTTGGCCATATTCAATATATTTCAAAATATATTTCAAAATATATTTCAATAAAATATCTATCTATCTATCTATCTATCTATACTGTATGTTGAAATGCGTTGTTATTATATAATATTATTCAAATATGATTGGTTCTGTTTATGTTTTTCCCCAGCAAAAAAATGCTGTTTCCTGTGCTATATGCTGAAGTAAGCTATTTTTGTTTATTAATTATATATATTTATTTTATTTATTCTGTATATATATATAAATATGTTTTTTAATTATGTTGTTTGTAAGATTTTTAATAAACAAAAATGTACAATCTAAGATCTAAAGATAATGATATTAAAATATGATTGATTCTGTTTATGTTTTTCCCCGGCAAAAAAAAGCAGTTTCCTGTGTTATATGCTGAAGTAAGCTATTTTTGTTTAATAATAAAATATATACAGTATAATTATTATTACTACACAGGATTTATATATCAGCAACACTTTGCACAGCGCTTTACAATATATGGGAGACAGTACAATTACAATACATTTCAGTACAGAAGGAATATGAGGGCCCTGCTCGTGGAGCTTACAATCTAAAGGAAGAGGGAGGTGATGCAAAATATATATATATATATTTTATTTTTTTTTTTATTTATTCTGTATATATGTACTGTACGTTTTTATTTCACAATATATGAAAACTATTTTTAAAAATACATGTTAAATATACTGTATGTTTTTTAAAAATACAAATCTACATTATTGGAATGCATTTACAAATATATGTTAAAATATATGTTAAAATGACTTTTCTATATGATAAAAATTTTTTAAGAATATATGTAAAAATATATATTTAAAAAAAATATTTTTCATATATTTTGTAATATATAAAAAATGCATTTCAATATACAGTATATATATATATGGCAAAAGGTACTAACCACTAAGTCACTGATATGAGAGAAGTAAATGATCCCCCTACATGAGAAGCCTGAATTGTTATTGGTGTTTGTCCCATAATGTGACCAGCCAGTGACAACCTGACATTGGTGTCTCCCCCAGGAGTAACAAATGGACTCTATGTGCCTATTGCCCCGTTATTGGTCCATGCTGAGCTCCTTACCTGAACGGTCTCCTGGTAGCGGAGGGTGACCTTCAGTTGCTCCTCCAGATGGGCGTTGCGCTCACTCCAGAGCTTGTTCAGACTGTTCCAGGCCGCATAGAGCTGCAGAGACAAGAGATGTTATCCTGTGAGCGCTGAATACTCCCGAAAAGTCCAACAAGAGAATAATAAGTAAACTAGCAAAGAAGGATTAAGTAGCCAAGGCAAAAAGATCAAAGTGTGCCCCCCCCCCCAAGCTGGGAACTACTTCAGCAAGACAGGTTGCAGGTTCTGTCCTTTCTGCTCCCCGCTCCTGATGAAGTACTCAAGGTGGTCGCCTCTTCTTCCCAGCTCTGGCTATAGCCATTGCATTACGTAATTGTTGCCACTGTATTGGGCATCGCTACAGGCCTGGTCACAAATTTCGGAAAATCCACCAATGTGGAGAAGTGACAGGTACACTTTAATGGCGATCCCCTATAATTACCTTTCAGTTTGGCTGCCAATAAGAAGAAAGGGAAAGCTCCAAGTGGTTACTTCCAGCTTACACTGGCCTGAGAGCTCACTCCTTGCCCAATTGCCACTCAACAGTCAGAGAAATGGGCTCAATTACCACTCACCCATGGGAGAACGGGGTGTAAGTCCCATGTGACCCCAACTCCATGCACTGACGGGAGGAAGTAGCATATGGCACATTTTGCCCAAACAGGACACACGTGTATAAGGAAGGGGCAAGATTCCCATATGGCCCAATTACAGATCACCCATGGAAGGAAAGGATGTCACATGTGGCCAATCACCACACATGGCTGAGAGAAAAGATGTGATTCATATATGGCCCAATTGCCATGTACAGGTGAGAGGAAGGGGCATGTATCATGTGTGAACCAATAATCACCCACCAATGAGAGTAGGAGGCATTAGTCACATGAGGCCTAAACACAATGCACCCATGCGAGGAAGGGGCATGAGTCACATGTGGCCCAATTTCCCTGCACCTATGGCAGAAGGGGCATGAATCACCTGTGGCCCAATCACCACCCACCAATAGGAGGAAGCAGCATGAGTCACATGTAGGCCAGTCACTACCCACCAATGGAAGGAAGGGGCATGAATCACACGTGGTCCAATCACCCCCCACAATAGGAGGTAGGAGAATGATGAGTTATGTGTCACCCAATTACCACGCACCCATGGGAGGAAGGGGCATGAATCACATGTGTCCTAATAATCACTCACCAATAGGAGTAAGGGGCATGAGTCACATGTGGCCCAATCATCACTCACCAATAGGAGGAAGGGGCATGAGTCACATGTGGCCCAATTTTTATGCACCTAAGGCAGAAGGGGCATGAATCACCTGTGGCCCAATCACCACCCACCAATAGGAGGAAAGCAGCATGAGTCACATGTAGTCCAATCACTACCCACCAATGGAAGGAAGGGGGATGAATCACACGTGGTCCAATCACCACCCAACAATAGGAGGTAGGAGCATGAGTTATCTGTCACCCAATTACCACGCACCCATGGGAGGAAGGGGCATGAACCACATGTGGCCCAATCACCACTCACCAATAGGAGGAAGGGGCATGAGTCACATGTGGCCCATTCACCACCCCCGATGGTGAACAACGATGAGCATGAGGAACCAACCGCAACAATGAAAGGAAGGGCCCATTCACCAGCCCAACCGATGGTAGGAACCTGAGTCACATGTGGCCCATTCACCACCCACCGATAGGAACAACGCAACAATGAAAGGAAGGGCATAGTCACATGTGGCCCACCCACTAATGGAAGGAAGGTGTAAGAGTCATATGTTCCCCATACCATGAAATACTGGTCTGGTCAGGCAATTGCTGTTGCTTTTGGTGAATACATAGGGAACCAATGAGCAGGTGTTTATAGACCTTCAGTTGGCGGAATGGAGTGACGGGGAGCAAAGTAAAGGTGAGTATGTGCAGCCAGGGTGTGGTGGGTGCTGCATAGACAATCCACAAGTTTTTCGAAGGTCAAGAATATAATTGGGTCTTCAGAAGAATCTGGGTGCAGTGAAAGCCAGTCCTGGAAGAAACCTTTCATGGTAGCCCTGGAAAACATTTCTGATCTCCTGCAATAAGCAGTTTGGAAACACTCCTGAAAAGCACGAATGAGCCCTGTGGATCCCCTGAGATGTCATAGGACAGACCAATGCTCACAATTTGCATATTTTATAAGGGGGGTGGCAAGTTATTCGTCCTCCTAGAGATCTATCATTGAATAGCCTACTTGCCTCATCCAGACTCTTGGTCACATCAGGCTTGTCCATGTCCCCACATGAAGACATCAGGTCCATCCCGAGAGACCCCAGCACATCCAGTTCATTCTGAAGGTTGTCAATGTCTTCCCGGAGAGCCTGATGGTGGAAGGAAGACAACTATTATTTTATATGTACCTTGTGTGAGTTTATTGTGCATAGGCCAGGTAGGATCAGCATTGGAAGTATTTCACTACAAAGGTGCAACACTGTATACATGCTTTGTATGACTCTCTGCCTTCAGTTTCTACACAGGTTCAACTAGATGGACTTGAGACACCCCAGCTGAGCCTCACCATACAATGTACTTACAGGTTCACTCTAACAGCACCACAAATGAACCCCATTGATCCTTTTGAACTTAAAGGAGCTCTCCAGACAAAAAAATCATCTGGCATCCTCCCCTCCCCCCTACCTTCTGCATCTGGTTGCCCTAATAACTAAACCTCTATGATACCGATATCCTCATCTTCTGAATCTGAGCCTTCAAAAAGCAAAGTCACTGTGCTCTCTGGTCCCAACCCCATCTTCTCTCTGCACCCACTGCGGTTCCAGCCAAACACAGTGGTGTAAGTTGCCAAATTCAAAGTCACGTGACAGGAGGCTGTTGTCCTACTTATAGGTCCTGTGAGAAGCCACTCTCTGTACTGGAAAACAGGTAACAAATTTTGGACTTTCTGAATAAAATATTTTACTGATACTTGAATATACTTCCTGACATTGCCCTTTACATCTTTCCCGAGGAGGAAATTGAAGAGTTGCCCCAGGCGTCTTCTTTACCTGCATAGCATCCAGCCGGGTTCTGATAGAGTCGGGGTCAGGGCTGGGTTGTTCCGTGTCCAAGACCATCTGCTGGGTGTCTCCAAGAATGACCGCCAGGTCAGAGAGACTGACCCAGAACCTTTCTGCCAACATGAGAAGCCCAGACAGCCAAGCATCACGCTCCTCCGCGCGGCCACAAAGCTGCTTCCAATCCGCCAATAACACATCTGTCCGCTGCTGGAGGCCTACAAATAAAGACAGGTGTGTTTGGAAGAGTCACCAAAGGGGAAGAAGTTAGGGAGAATGGTCAGAAGGTGGAGAACGTAATAGTGGAGGAACCAAAGTCCAGCATCTGAGGGGCTTAGAGGATTTACTTGACGTTCACAAAAACATTTCTGTACATTTTTTTCAGCACCAGTTTCTTGGTGCATTATTACTGAAACATAAAAGAGCAATAGTGGAGAAAGTGGTCCAATGGATTTTCCTGATTTTTTTAGTTTCTTGGGGGGGGGGGGGGGGGGGCATTTTATAAACGTATTTTTCCGATCGATCTATATCAGTATGGACCTATGTCTGCCGCAGGCATGTTTAAAGTGTTTCTTAGGTCAATTTACATTCTTCTACATGAAAGCTGCCCATGGTACACTCGTGGACTTTCCAGAATGATAATGATCCTAAGCACAGGGCCAAGCTGACCCTCCAGTGGTTACAGCAGAAAAAAAAAGGTAAAAGTTCTGGAGTAGCCATCACAGTCTCCTGACCTTAATATCATTGATCTTAACCACATAATCATTTTTTGCCCTCCTGGACCTTATTTACAGTTGCAAGAAAAAGTATGTGAACCCCTTGGGATTACGTGGAGTTTTGCATGAATTGGGCATAAAATGTGCTCTGAACGTCATCTAAGTCACAACAATAGAAGAACACAGTCTGCTGAACATAATACTACACAAACATTAGATGTTGCCATGGTTTAATTGCACATAACATGTAAACATTCACAGTGCAGGGAGGAAAAAGTATGTGAACCTTTGGACTTAATAACTGGTTGACCCTCCTTTGGCAGCAATAACCTCAACCAAACGTTTCCTGTAATCAAAATTGCATACAAGGGAGAGGTGCAGCGCTAGCTGAATAAATATGCACTTAAATGCTTATTAAATATACACTAATATAAATCAATAAAAGTGCTAATAAAGTGCAAAACGGTGACTAAATGGTAAGTATAGTCCATAGCGTGCTCAAAAATCCAAGAGAGTCCTTAAAGAGCTCCAATCCCTGGATTCGTGGATGAGGTGATAAAGATAAGAATTGCGCACTCACCAGATACGCAATTCAAGTGCGCATTTGAAGCTGACAATCTCAGGGTCCTCATATGGATCTGGTCAGATCTGGTCACAAAAGCCTCTCATCACCTTGGTAGTGTTTTCCACACACGGAAGAAAGGGCCGCTAAATTTTGGTTTGGTGAATCAGATGCTGGAATGCAAAGATACTTCATGCCCTCTAACATTGGCCTTGCGCTGTCATTCCGTGTGTGGAAAACACTACCAAGGTGATGAGAGGCTTTTGTGACCAGATCTGACCAGATCCATATGAGGACCCTGAGATTGTCAGCTTCAAATGCGCACTTGAATTGCGTATCTGGTGAGTGCGCAATTCTTATCTTTATCACCTCATCCACGAATCCAGGGATTGGAGCTCTTTAAGGACTCTCTTGGTTTTTGAGCACGCTATGGACTATACTTACCATTTAGTCACCGTTTTGCACTTTATTAGCACTTTTATTGATTTATATTAGTGTATATTTAATAAGCATTTAAGTGCATATTTATTCAGCTAGCGCTGCACCTCTCCCTTGTATGCAATTTTGATTACTGTGAAGGTTTATATGGTACCTTTTGGTGTTCAGCTGCTTTCCTCTTATTTTATCCTATTCACTAATTGATCTTATTAGTTGTTTGAAGCGCTCACTTATTTTGAGATTTAAACGTTTCCTGTAGTTGCAGATCAGACCTGCACAACGATCTGGAGTCATTTTGGACCACTCCTCTTCACAAAACTGTTTCAGTGTAGCAATATTCTTGGGATGTCTGGTGTGAATCGCTCTCTTAAGGTCATGCCACAGCATTTCAATCGGGTTGAGGTCAGGACTCTGACTGGGCCACTCCAGAAGGCGTATTCTGTGCTGTTGCAGCCATTGTTTTGTTGAATTACTTGTATGCTTTGGGTCATTGTCCTGTTGTATCACCCATCCTCTGCGGAGCTTCAGTTGGCGGACAGATGGTCATACGTTTTCCTGCAAAATGCCTTGATAAACTCTGGAATTCATTTTCCCATCAATGACAACAATCTGTCCAGGCATTGAGGCAGCAAAGCAGCCCCAAACCATGATGCTCCCTCCGCCATGTTTCACAGTGGGGATGAGGTTTTGATGTTGGTGTGCTGGGCCTTTTTTTCTCCACACATAGTGTTGTGTGTTCTTCCCAAACAACTCAATCTTGGTTTCATCTGTCCACAGTATATTTTGCCAGTAGTGCTGTGGAACATCCAGGTGCTCTTTTGCAAACTTCAAACGTGTTCAATCTTCTTTCTGGACAGCAATGGCTTCCTCCGTGGTGTCCTCCCATGTACTCCATTCTTGTTTAATGTTTTCCTTATTGTAGATGTGTCAACAAAAATGTTAGCATGTGCCAGAGATTTCTGTAGGTCTTTAGCTGACACTCTGGGATTCTTCTTTACCTCATGCAGCATTCTGCGCTGTGCTCTTGCAGTCATTTTTACAGGACGACCATGCCTAGGGAGAGTAGCAACAGTGCTAAACTTTCTCCATTTGTAGACAGTCTGTCTTACCGTGGACACATGAACATCAAGGCTCAAGGAGATACTTTTGTATCCCTTTCCAGCTTCATGCAAGTCAACAATTCTTGATCGTAGGTCTTCTGAGAGCTCTTTTCTGTGAGGCATGGTTCACATCAGACAGTGCTTCTTGAAACCAGTAAACCAGTGTGTTTTTTAAGGGCAGTACAGCTGTCAGCAACACATCCAATATCATCACACTGATTGGAGTCAAGGTTGGCTCACTCCTGGCTCCAATTAGCTCTGGGAGAAGTCATTAAGCTAGGGCCTCACATACTTTTTCCTCCCTGCACTGTGAATGTTTACATGTTATGTGCAATTAAACCATGGCAACATCTAATGTTTGTGTAGTATTATGTTCAGCAGACTGTGTTCTTCTATTGTTGTGACTTAGATGACGTTCAGAGCACATTTTATGCCCGATTCATGCAAAACTCCACGTAATCCCACGGGGTTCACATACTTTTTCTTGCAACTGTACATCCTTGATGTAATTAAAGGTTTCACTCGTATTCCCCCCTTTCCCTTCTTTCCTAGAGCCTGGCAACGCATCAGAAAGGAGGAAACCTAGTCTTTGGTCATGTCCATGGGTTCCAGACTTCAGGCAAAGCATCAGAAATGTGGAAACCCAGTCTTTGGTCGTGTCCATGGGTTCCAGGCTTCAGGCAAAGCATCAGAAAGGAGGAAACCCAGTCTTTGGTCATGTCCATGGGTTACAGACTTCAGGCAAAGCATCAGAAAGGAGGAAACCCAGTCTTTGGTCGTGTCCATGGGTTAGAGACTTCAGGCAAAGCATCAGGAAGGAGGAAACCCAGTCTTTGGTCATGTCCATGGGTTCCAAGCTTCAGGCAAAGCATCAGAAAGGAGGAAACCCAGTCTTTGGTCATGTCCATGGGTTACAGACTTCAGGCAAAGCATCAGAAAAAGGAGGAAACCCAGTCTTTGGTCATGTCCATGGGTTACAGACTTCAGGCAAAGCATCAGAAAGGAGGAAACCCAGTCTTTGGTCATGTCCATCGGTTACAGACTTCAGGCAAAGCACCAGAAAGGAGAAAACCCAGTCTTTGGTCATGTCCATGGGTTCCAGACTTCAGGCAAAGCATCAGGAAGGAGGAAACCCAGTCTTTGGTCATGTCCATGGGTTACAGACTTCAGGCAAAGCACCAGAAAGGAGAAAACCCCGTCTTTGGTCATGTCCATGGGTTATAGACTTCAGGCAGTCATTCCAAGTAAAGGATTCTCAACAAAATATTAAAAATTTTATTTATGATTCTATTCATTTGTCCAATTACTTTTGGTCCCTTGAAAAAGGGGGGGATGGCTACTCTTAAGAGCTGTAATTCCTAAACCCTTCCTCCGATTTGGATGTACATACCCTCAAATTACACCAGAGAGTGCACACTGTCCACCCATATTCATTACAGAACTATAGCTTGAATATGTTTTGACAAATACCTGAAAAAAATCTAAAATTGTGCCTGTGTCCAAATACATATGGACCTAACTGTAGGTGCAAGGCATGGGTTGTGTATAGGGTTAAAGCATCTATTGCCAGCATCCCGTGGATTTTCAGAATACCCTCCAACCAAATGTTGATTAAAGTGATCATATCATAGCAGTAAAACCACTAAGTTTCAGGGCCACACAGGACCTCTTCATCAGGCATGTGATATCATGTCATATAAAGGGGTCCTGCATGGCCCCAAAACATTTTTGTTGTGCTGCGGTGATGTGATCATTTTAATGGTTGAACATTATTCTGAAGATTGATGCGGTGATGATGTATGCTATTTGTGTTGACATGAGTTCCCAGCTAGTAGCTGTTACAGCACTCACTTGCTTTCCAGAAAAATGTGTGATGGGAATATTCTACTTGATATGTTTAGGGTTAGGGAATTGGTTTAGAGGTTAAAAGTGGTTAGTGTTGGGCTGAGGGGTTATGCTGGCCATACACTCACCGGCCACTTTATTAGGTCCACCTGTTCAATTGCTTGGTAACACAAATTGTTAATCAGCCAATCGCATGGCAGCAACTCAATGCATTTAGGCATCTAGACCAGTGGTGGGCAACCTTTTTTTTCAACTGAGCCAAATCTCGCCAAAACCATGATTGAAATTTATTTTGAGAGCCACATTTTTAAAACTGAAAATACATCTCCCATATAGTAATTCATCCCCCATAGTAATTCATCCCCCATATAGTAATTCATCCCCCATATAGTAATTCATCCCCCATAGTAATTCATCCCCCATATAGTAATTCATCCCCCATATAGTAATTCATCCCCCATATAGTAATTCATCCCCCCTATAGTAATTCATCCCCCATAGTGTAATTCATCCCCCATAGTAATTCATCCCCCATAGTAATTCATCCCCCATATAGT